TTATAATAATATGAGAATAAAGTCATAATAATAATGAGAATAAAGTTACAATAATATGAGAATAAAGTCAATATGACAAGGTCGAGCTGTTCATATCAGATTTTGATAAATTTATTGAAGCTATTTTCTCATTAAAAACTTTTTTTTTTGTAATTTTACAACTTCTAGTAATGTGTTTTTATTCTGCTATTTATTCACAAACACTTTATTTTTGTAATTATAAAGGAAGAAAACTGAGTCGGGCCTTAATACTTTTGTTGTGCTTTCTCGATAAAGTTTTTTTTTCTGTTTTTATACACATGTAATAAAGTGTGTGAGCAGCCGAGTCATGCTGGTCACATTCTGCTTCTCGTCTGTCAGCGTCAGACGCTCACCTCCCGGTGCCGGCCCACATTTAACCGCTGGGTGCACAATAGTCCTAATTCTGACCCTCACACTGCACCGTAGTTTTTTATTCAGTCAGGATTAAAGCAAAGCTTCTTTCTGTTTCTGTTTTAAACATGTCAATGACTGATGTGATGTAGGCGTGACAAACGGGACAYGCTGCAGCGCCGACAGGAGGCATTCAGCACAGCAAGACAAACGATGCACAGCTTCAGCCCATAAACAAAAACAAAAACAAGTGAAATCCAGTCAAGCATCGGAGGTTTGAGAGGATCTGAAAGCAGCTGAGTGGAGCAGCTGAGTGGAGGTCGACATGCAGCTGGAGAGGTGAAATTACTGGTGAGGCAGGATAGGGCGCAGCAGGCTGGTGCTGGACCAGAGGAGAGGCCACTACAGGCAGGACTTTCACAGCTGAGTTGTGCTTTAAGCTATTCTTAGAGCTAAAAAGGGGGAAAAGGCTTTTCTTGATGCTGGGGTTCCTGCCGTCCTCCATGTCGGTCTGTGGAGCAGAAGACGCACAGCCACAACGTTCAACAGATTCTGAGAGAAAAGATAAAACCTGCAGCTGCTGATCCTCTCAGGAAACACTTGGCTCTGATAGAAACATCAATAAATTCATTTATTTGATCGATACATAAAAAATTAACAGTTTGTGAAACACAAAGGCTAAACTGAACCTCAAATCCAGCATCCTCTTCTGTTTTGAGCAACAGATCTACTTTATTTTAGAAAAAAACAGATCTGAGTTTAGCTGCACTTTTTATGAGTAATAATTTTACAGATTATTTTCATCATCTGTGTTGTAATCTGAGGTGGTGGGCACAGTTCCACTAAAGCAGAACTTATTTCTTATTTAGTGAAGGAGCAGTTTTTGTTCTATTTTATTCGTTAATAAAGTTTTTTTAATTGAAATTGTAGATTAGCCTTTTTGCTAAATTTGGAGATCGTTAGCAGACGGTTAGCTCCTGCTAAATTAGGTTTTGCTAATTTTAAGTCCACTAACAAAATTCACAAAGTGTTTAACTTCTATTT